ATTTGTTGAAGAAGACAGAGGAGATCTCGGCTTAGCGACTGATCTGAAAAACAGGACTCCTGATAATGCATCACTTCCTCATTGCTGACACAAAGTGTTGGTCTGTATTATGAATTTAAGGTGGGTTACTTTAACCCAGTGAAACTGCTGGGATGGAGTGATCACTGTTCTTACTCTCTTTTGATAATACTTTCCACTGAAGACAAGGAAGGTCAAATCTGACAGGATGTGAAACGGCTGTCTGATCTGATTAGCTTAGAGTGCAGTGCAAACCCTTAACCTTCTGACTCAAAGATGATGGAATGATTAACTCACTGAGCCAAGATAACCATGTCATCTAACCTCATTCACCTGATATACTGATCAACCTCTGAAGAACCCTGCCACCAGCAACATAATTATTGCTATTCAGCAATACTGAAGGAGTCATGAGGATACAGACATGCTGTAGAATAATCCATTCCTGTTGTAAGACATCCCCATTTTGTCAAGTGCCCTGTCCAGCGGAGTATCAGGCTGTAGACTTTGGGTATACAATTTTAGGCCCCTCTCATCGGATTTCACGTCTGCCCAAGGTAGAAGAGAGGATGGAGATCACAGCCTGCAAGGGCCAGTTTGCCATGAGATTTAGAATAGATTGCAGAATGGATTTGAAGATGTTTGAAGCAATTCATTGTGGTGCAAGTGCTGACCAGGAGAAACATCAACATTGGCCAAACACAATAATTGCAAGGGCAACAGCAGTGGAAGCTGACAATGGGCTAGTAGCACTGTGTCATATTGTATTTCTGGGAGGGGCTGAGGAAGTGAGGGAGGCAGGGCCCAAAAGCACTGGGGCTGAGGTTTGACATTACAGAGCTATACAGAGAATGAAAGGTTTGACCAGGAGTCTAACTTTGGCTGACCTGTTAAGAAAATTACACTTCATCTTGTGTTGCAGGCAATTCCTTGGAACTAAGCTGCTGGCATCGACCTGTTGTCCTGTTTCTGCTTGTTAACTGATTTGCCAGGGCTTAAGTTGCCCATTGCAAAGAAAGAACTTGTGCAACACCTGCTCTATGTGAATCTTCATAGTTCTGTGTGAAAATTGGAATGCCTTTACAAATGCCATTCTAACCCACTGTTCACTGACAACTTTTGAAAAGTACACTTCCCATTTAAGAGCTGCTGGTTGCTTTTAAATGGCAACGGGCCACCTGGCCCATCATGTTATCACTTGCACAAATGGCAAGCTGAATATAAACAGTACATTTTTCTTTATTCATTTGTGGGATCATGTCTGGGCCCGAAGTTTATTGCTAATCCCTAATTGCCTACAGGGCAGATGAGAGTCAACCACATTACCATGGAACTGGAGTCACATGTAGGCCAGCCGAGGTAAGGATGGTAGTTTCCTTCCTTTAAGGACATTAATGAAACAAATGGGTTTTTCAGACAATCTAGTAGGTCAATGGTCACCAATTAATGCGCTTTTAACTCCAGATGTTTTTATTGAATTCAAATTCCACCATGGATTCAAACTCAGGCCCACAGAACATTCCCTAGGTCTCTGGATTAATAGTCCAGTGAAAATACCACTAGGCCAACAATATTGAATCAAATTGAATACAGTGAATCACTAAACACAGAAGAAGGCCATACAACATTTTGTATCAGTGCCAGATCTTTGAATGAGTCAACCAATTAGTTCCATCCCTCATTGCCCTGGAAATGTTTCCATTTTTAGTATTTTTACAGTTCCCTTTTTAAAGTTTATGTTGAGTTTGCTTCCACCATTCCTATCAGACAATGCATTCCAGATCACAACTGTACTAATTGGATTGAGGGCCAGGTGGATCCTATTGACTATGAGATCCTTGATTGGGGATGATGACCTGGGCCAATCAGGGAGCCCAGGCTGACAGTTATAAGCAGGAGATTATGAACCCTCTTGTGGTGCAGTGGCAGTGTCCCTATCCCTGGCCTGAGAGGCCCAGATTCAAGTCCCACCTGCTCTAGAGGTGTGTAATAACATCTCCAAAGAGATTGATTAGAAACAAATACCAAATAGGGATTCAAATAGGGACTGGCTCTGAGCTGGCTGGTCAGAGCCTATGTACTTTGCACGTGTAAATAAAGGATAACTTGGTGACAGGATACTGGTCTCCTTGAAGTTTTTTCAACAAGAAACGCTGTTCACTCCCTCATGTCACCTTTGGCAGAACCTTCATCTTTCGGAAACTCTATCAAAATTCTTCACGATTTTCAAATCCTCTGTAAATGTCCCCCCTCACCTTCTCTGCTGTCAGGAGAACAATACCAGCTTCTTTTGTTTCTCCACATAATGGGATTAGTGCTGGCAGCTTGTCACTTATATTTGAGTGAAGCCTGACAACTCAGATTGATCAAGCCTCCCGCTGGTGTCACTGAGTCTGCGGGAGTAGAACTGATGCAGCCCATCACCCAACTGACCTGCAAGAGAGATGAAAATCAACAAGAGGGCAACATTCAGGAAGGTGCCCTTTTAGAGCTATTCTGCAGTCCTTTACCTGAAAAGCACCAGGAAATTGTGCCCATCTGAAACAGACTGAAGATCTCAGTTATAGTTTAGTGCTTACAGTACCATGGCACATCTTCATGACTGTATAAAATCCTTGAGGTGAAAGAGCTAGCTTCACCTAGTCTTTCCCCAGATCACCTAAAACCAGGGAGAGTACATGGAGTTCAGCCACAGGTCAACCATAACATAATGAAATGGAAATCCAGGAATGGGAGGAGGCATTTAACACCTTGAGCCTTTTCTAACATTCAATAAGACCCCGGTTGATCTACATCCTAATGCATAAACCCACTTTTGTCCATTTCTTTGGGTAACAAAAATTTCTTAATCTCAGGCTTCAAGTTAACAACTGATCTAACTTCAATTACCATTTATTGAAGAGAGCTCCTAATGTCTACGTTCATTGAAGTGTTTCCTAATGTCAATTCTGAATGGTTTAGTTTCAACGAATAGACAAAACCCCTTATGCAAAATACTACCGGCCATTAGAAATATATTCTCTCTATCCTATCAATTTTTAACAATTTGGAAACATTGACCAATCAACCCTTTACCTTCTAAATTCCAGGAAACACAATGCTACACATTCTGAGCAAATCTACACAATAATGGCTCAGCTTTTCTTCATGACAAAAAGCATCTCTGTTGTGGCAAAAATGGCAGTAGAGGCCAAAATTTGGAAGTCTTGCCTCTAAATACAGCACTTCCCACTTTCACTTGGGGGAGGTTAGATTCAGACTGAGTTAAACCCATTCATGTTTTATGGAGGGAGCTGGTCATTTACATCATCAGCTGCCATCCTGAAGTGGGATATTGATGTTCCTGTAGTGTGCGTACTGGACCTGCTAAGCTTTGGATGTTGTACATTCACTGGGATAGCTTGGGCACACCTTTGGAAAGGTAGAGTACCCCTTCTGATATGGTCTTTGTGGTGAAGGGAAATCAGGTGTCCTTGCTGCAGGGGATGCTGAAGTGGGGGGACAGGTGGTTTTCTTGGGTGTCTGGTACCTTTTGGTATTGTTACCAGTAGAGTTGAATGTACCTAAAAATGTATCAACCAACCAGAACTGTCAAGCTGACAAAGAACTTCTAAATGAAGCTAAGCTGTCAAAGAACTGTCAAGTTGTGAAAGGTTTTAAAACTTGTGAAATGTTAAAGGGATTTGTCAAGACTGTCAAATCATATAAAACTCCAAGCATTTTGATTTTGAAAAAAAAAGTGTGGAGAGTTCAAAAAGAATGATTTCTTTCTGTTTTGTCTGTCTTTTGACATTATCTTGAGGATTTCCATTGCTGGATGAGTGCAGCAAGACAGATTTCACAAGGATCTGTTATCAGAGTGGGGTGTCTTCCATTTTATAGTTTGATTGGCAGATACAAATGATTTTTTTGATTTTTGGATATGGGACTTTGAATTTCAGTGCTTATTGCACTTGAATGAAATGTCTGTTATTTTTTAAATATTTTATTAAAGTAAAGAATTTTAAATGTGGTAAACGTATTCTATGAATCAGGGAGGTTCTCTTTGTATTTTTTCTTGTCAGCTCTGTGTGGCTCCCATTGGGGACATTAGGTGAGTTGGCATGGTATGTGAAAGGGCAAATAGTGGTAGGCAAAGGGGCATGGTTTAACATAAGTTGCCACTTTTGGCATAAGGATTATAAAGGGCAAGGATCAATACAGGGCATTAGATACCATTGCAGTAATGAGGTGTCATGAGGGAGAGGAGAAGGGCATAAGATAGCATAGGGATTAGCACTAATGTGAAATGGGGAGTGTGTCTGGGAGTGAGGAGATATTGGAAATGAGGGCTGGAGGGCAGTTTTTAGTTTCATCAGGTTTTTTTGGGTAATCTTCCGGGCAGTGCCAGTGCAGACAGGCCGATCCTGTGGCCAACCTGCACCCTCAGTCAGCAGCTTCCGCCCTGACGTTACCCAGTCTACCTCCCTCTCTCTGAAATGAAAATCCACACTCCCAGGAAATTTGTTGCCACATGGAGCTGGGAAATGTTCCATCTCTGTGTTCCTAACCCGGTAGCAAAAACCAGGGCCAATCTATCATGGACAATATAATCCTTCCTGAATGTAGTACTCGGAATTGCTCACAGTACTGAATGTGTCAACATACTAGGGGTCTACTTGGCTGAGGCATGACCTATTCCTTTGTTGTCTAATCTTGTTGATAATAAAATCCTTCATCCCATTAGTCCTTTGGAGGCACAGGCTCAAGAAGCTGAATAGCTTACTCTTGTTCCTACATTCAAGCAACTGTAGGACAACCTCAACTAGAAAAACTAATTCATTTTAATGTTTTCATCTTTATCAACAGATGCATATATCTTACTAACAAATGCATTACATAATGTGCAACTTTATATTTAAGTAAAAACGCAACTCCTTCGCAAATGAAAAGCAGAGGAAATAAAATGACGAGTATTCATCTGGTTCGTCTGTTTCTTGCCATTAATTATTCTCTTCGTCGTCATCACTTTCCTTGAATAGTCCCAGTCTCTGGAAGCATTGAACAATATTGGCCAAGAAGAAGCTCGTTGTAATGGCAGTGATGGAGACACAAACCCCAGAGAAAAAGATAATCAAGTAGTCTGTCAGAGTCAGGGAGAACTCACACTCTGTGAAGCTGCTGTCTGATAACTCGTTGAGTGTAATCTTCCTCATATCCCTGGGCAAGGAGCATTGGATTGCATCAAAGCCTTGAAGAAATGAACATAGATATTTTTATATAGCAAGCAAAACAACAGGAACTCATCAAACCTGCCCTTAAACCATTGTCTCTTGAGAATTTCCCAGGCTGGCGTATCTGAGCTCCCTGTCTCCTGACTCTCCCTGTCTCCTGACTCTCCCAGTCTACTGACTCTCCCACACCAGAATTTTGCTGTGCTGGCATCAACAAAAAAAAAATCACAAAATTGCCACCCTAGTCGCTTCTCAAGAACAGGAAATTAGGATCTGATCCAAAACTTGTGAATTTTAAGTGTCCAAGCAAGTGTAAAACCATCTCAGGAAAGGATAGAATGAGGGATGGTTCACCCACTTTCATCTTAGTGCATTAATAATCAGGTTTCCTCATGAAGGTTCAGAGTTCCAGTAAGTTTAACCACCATTTAGTATCCATTCTGCATTGCTTGTGGTCTATGTAGACACATCTCTGCAGTTTTCTAGGGTCTTTCACTGCTCACTGCTGCTAAAATAGCACTGAGTATATTACTCAAATCAGGGGACTCTGCATTGTTGATCGTAGGAAACTCTCACATCAGTGCCGATTGTATAACATCATAGAATCCCTACAGCGTGGAAGCAGGCCATTCGGCCCAACAAGTCCACACCAACTCTCAGAACATCCCAACCAGACCCATCCCCCTAAGCTACACATCCCTCAATACTATGGGCAATTTTCCATGGCCAATCCACCTGGCCTGCATATTTTTGGACTGTGGAAGGAAACCAGAGCACCCAGAGGAAACCCACGCAGATACAAGGAGAAAGTGCAAACTCCACACAGACAGTCTCCTGAGGGTGGAATCGAACCTGGGTCCCTAGCGCTGTGAGACAGTAGTGCTAACTATTGCCCCAATCAGCCTTAAAGTGATCCAAAAAATCATTCTCTGGGTAAATATTTATATGTGCAGATTTGATTCCTGATTGAATATATAAAAAAAAATGAGAAAGGTAAGTGGAAAATGTGGGACAGGGTACTGGGAAAACCTTTCTCAATACCATATGTGTCTGAAAGAGTTAAAAGGCTTCGTTTCAGTGAAAGCCGATCTGCCAACAAGTGTTGACTGACTCTTAATTGAGTCTAATTCTGACATTTTCCAATGTGAGCACACAAAGCATCAAGTTAGGAGAATCACATTCAATGGAAAAACAAACCAGTGCATTGTTCCCACCATCAGATACTCTAAACACCTGGACATGGCAACAGGACAGAAGCATCTTCATTCAGTAACTAAAGAAAAGAATAAAGAACTGTACAGCACAGGAACAGGCCCTTCGGCCCACCAAGACTGCGCCAACACACGATGCCTGTCGAAACTAAAACCTTTTGCCTCTGTGCGGTTCATGTCCCTGTATTCCCTGCCTATTCATGTATCTGTCAAGATGTCTTTGAAACGTTGCTAGTGTATCCACTCCCACCACCTCCCCTGCAGCACATTCCAGGCACTTACCATCTTCTGGGTAAAAATCTTGCCTCTCACATCTCATTCAAACTTACCCCTTTTTACCTTAAACTTATGTCCCCTAGTAATTGAGCCTGGGAAAAAGGCCCTGACTATCCATGCCTCACATAGTTTTGTAAAATTCTGTCAGGTCACCCCTCAAGCGAAAACCAACCAAGTTGTCCAATCTCTCCTCACAGATAATACTCTCAAAACCAGGCAACATCCTGGTAAGCTGTTTCTGTAGCCTTCACATCCTTTTTGCAGTGTGGTGACCAATAGAGAGAGAAACAACTGGTGGTGGTTTAACCTGAGGGTTACCACACCTCAGGAAAGGGGAGAGGGAGAGTCCTTCATGGTAATCTCAGCCAATGCAGGAACTGAACCCAGGCTGTTGGTATGACTCTGCATCAGAGACAAACTGTCCACCCAACTGAGCTAACCAATCTCCTTTGTTAGCTTGTCTTGATTTGTCAATTTGGTAACATGGTTTTAATGATTAATTGATATATGCACTTAACAGTCAGGCTGTCTGTCTGTAGACCCATGCTGCTGGAACTCTTGATGCATTTTCAGGTTTTGTCTACACCCTAATTCTTACCCATGGTCCCCCACTACAATATTGATAACCAAATGGGAAGACAGACTTTGTGATAGCAAGAACTGCTGATGCTGGAGTCAGAGGTAACAAAGTCTGGAGCTGAAGGAACACAGCAGGCCAAGCAGCATCAGAGGAACAGGAAAGCTGATGTTTTAGGTCGGGACCCTTCTTCAGAAATTTCAGAAGAAGGGTCCCGACCTGAAACGTCAGCTTTCCTGTTCCTCTAGACAGACTTTGTGGTCTATTGCTATTTCCTACTACAAAGTTTAATCTGAACATCCACATTGTCAGTTAATAGCCACTTACATTACAATGCTTCATCCAGAGTGAAAAAAACAAGAAATTGTGTCCTATGAAAGAACACATACATTATATCCACTTCTGTCTCACACCTGAAGTTAGTTACAGGCACAAAGCACTAAGCCCCAGGTGGTTTGCTTGCTGCGTTGTCTGGAAATCAGGTGGTCCCCATATTTAGCTCATGGACGCCTTGGTGTATATCTCTTAGGTCACTAGACATTCCTCCTTTAGGCCAGGCACTGATCCACAAGTTCTTAGATTGTTTAGTGAATGACAGTAATGCCTGGATTAGTACAAATTGATAGAGATCACCTTGGCATCCGCTGAGTTAGTAAATTGAAGACAAGCGGCAGTAGAAATCAGACATTGGTGCTTCAGATGGCGATTCTGTGACTGCTGTTAGAACATGCAAGTCAGTGGGCATAATATGTGACCCCCTTATCAAAATGCTGAGAGATGCTTATTTTCTCAACATCATACAAGAGAATGGTGGGCACTGCTTCCTGACATTGTGCCCATTCAGTCTAAGGCTAATTTTCAGGTATATGTGAGGGGGTAGGTTGATCCAAAACAAAAAGGACATAGCCTGAAAATTAGAGCTAGACTGGATGGTCACAATGTCCTTTTGTTTTGGATCAACTGCACCTGACCTCTCCCCAAATATACCACCCCCATGATCCTCCTGCCATGGATTACCCAAGGCCTGGTTCAATCCTGGACCTCTAGTTGTTGACATTCCAGCACCAGCTACCAACACCTCCCCAACTCTGGCTTCTTATTGGCCTGAGGATCTCAGCAGAGGGTCACCGCCCCCCCCCCCCACCCACTGCATGGGTCAAGGGGAACAGCTGTCTGGTGGCTTCTCCACTGCCTGTTTGGATTGTGGTTTTGGAAGACCTTCCCCAAAGGCAGCAATGTGGGTCTCTCAACAGTTTCCCAGCTGGCAGCTAGACTTGGTCACCTCCATAAGATCCCACTTGATTATTTCAATGTGGTTCTGATTGCCAAGTCATCTTCACGAGCTCACACAGAACTCTGCTGCTTCTAACTTAGAGCAAGTCCCAGAGATCCCTCATCCCTATGCTCACTGACCTACAGGCTTCCTGCCTGATAAACTCCTGATTTTAAAATTGTCTCTCTCATTCTAAAAGCTCTACACTGTCTCACCTGTAACTATCATTGTAACCTCCTCCAGCCCTGCAACATCTCTGAGGCACCTACGCTCATCCTGTGACAGCCTCTTGAGTGTCCTTGACTTTAATTGCTCAACCAGTGGTGGCTGTGCCTTCATCTCCCAGAGCACTAGCATCTGAGGTTCCCTCTTTCTCTTTCTTAGACGATACCTGAAGAACACCTTTTAATGCAGCTTTTGGTCTCCGGTCCTAAAATCTCCTTAAATGACTTAGCGTCAAAATTTGTTTGATTGTGCTTCTGAGAAGTGCCTTGGAATGCTTTATTACAATAAGTGCGCTGTATAATTGCAAGTTGTTGTTTTGATGTGTTTATTTTCACGAGTGTGTCTTAAATTGGAAATCTTCATGTCCCCAGTACTGACACCCCTCACCTTTATCAACATAAAATGGTAATGATAAAGTCACTTATCTCCTTATTGATTATCCCGTTAGAATGTGTACATCCTTGTGGACTCTCATCCAGTTAATTGACTCTCATTTCACTCATCCAAGCATCAATCTATTAACTGCTCCACTAAATGTTGCAGTTTAATGTCTCATTATTCATTCACGTCCCTTGTCTAGACAAGATAAATGTTCTCTTGCATCCATTTCTGTGCTTTGTTATTGGAAATATTAAATGACAGTCTACACATTCTCTTCTATTGCCTTCCCTCTTTCCTGGCACTACATATAGTGTGTGAGCGCTTGCAAACTGCTGAGCAGAAGTCCACTCAGGATGTCAGCTGTTCAGATAGATGAGTCACTGAGCCACACAAGACTGAATGTGGAATTTGCTCCCAGCCTGGCTTGATTTGGCTCGTCTCACCCAGGACAACAGCAAGACCACTTCAAAAGGCCTCAGTGTCCTAGGATGTCTGCTCGAAAAATATAGATGGCGAGCAAAAGACAGAATTGCATTATGATGGCTCCTTTGGTTTCAATTAGTCTTTGAGCAAAGTGCTGGGGAGCCCCTTGTATACTTACCTGATCCTCCTGATCCTCCTTTCCATTGGATTCAGGAACTGTGTAAGCTGGGTGGCCCATTCACTAAAAACCTGGTTTGCAATACTGCCATTGATCACACAGCAGCTCTTGCCCCAACTCTCTCTCCTAAGGCTGAAGTTCGTTCATTAATAACTATTATCAGATTCTTTAACTCATTCGAAATAAGAAGACTGCAATCAGTACAATATCATTTTAGGAATTGCTCCAATTTTAGCCCATCTCAGAACATCCAAACTGTAAGCATGGGATGGAATCTAAAACCCTCTTCCTGAGGTGGGTTTTGGTGAGGGTCTTCAATTAGGTGGGGTGGCAAGGGATGGGTGATGACCCTGCCACCTTCCCTCCTCTGCCTTGATTTAGTCCCTGTTGGAATGACTCATGGGCTGGACTTCCCATCTCTCACTTAGGACCTGAAGTAAGCAATGAACATAACATTCATGCCACACAAATGCCAGCCGTTGATGATTTCCAAAAAGAGACAAACTAACCATCACCCGTTGACATTCAATGATGTTACCATCAGTCAATCTCCCACTATCAACATTCTGAGGGGGGTTACTATTGATCAGAAATTGAACTGGACTCACTATATGAACACAGTGGCTGCAACAACCGGTCAGAGACCAGTAAACGTGCAGTGAGTAACTCACCTCTCTACCCACCAAAACCTGTCCACCATCTACAAGGTTCAAGTTGAGGAGTGCGATTGAAAAATCCCCACTTCCCTGGATGGGTGCAGCTCCAAAAACACTCAGGGAGCTTGACACCCCAAGACAAAGCAGCCCGTTTGATTGGCACTACTTCAACAAACATCCACTCCCTTGATTGGCACCACATCCACCAACATCGGTGTGGATTTGGAGTCACATGTAGGACAGAACAGGTAAGGATGGCAGATTTCCTTCCCTTGCAACAATGGATCATTGTTTGATGGCTACCATAACTGAGACTTGTTTTATAATTCCTGATTTATACCGGCACTCAGTAGCAGCAGTGTGTACACAGCAGAATCTCACCAAGGCTCCTTAGACAGCACTTTCCAGACCTATATTCACTTTCATCTCAAAGGACAAGGGCAACAGATACATAGTAAGGCCACCAACTGCAAATTCCCCTCCAAGCCACTCACCGCCCTGACTTGGAAATATATTATTATTCCTTCAGTGTTGCTGGGTCAAAATTCTGGAATTCTCTCCTGGATGGCATTGTGGGTCGACCAACTGTAGCAGTTCAAGAATGCAGCTCACCACTACCTTCCCAAGGGCAGCCAGGAATGGATAATAAATGCTGGCCTCAACCAGTGATGTCCACGTCTCATGAGTGAATCAGACAAGAATCGAAGAGACTTATTTCATTGTTGCTGGCATTCACCCAGTGGTGGGTGGGGGTGGATTCACTGTTTGAGAAGCTGGAAACTTGCTGGTGTTTAAAGGGTTATCTTGGCCAAATGTCTAACCTTTGCATGTGTGTCTAGGCGGTGAACATCAGCAGGCTAGTCATCTGGGGGCTGCATCACATTTAGCCTGATCCTGTTTTTGCTCCATACCCACACACACAAACACTTTCCAGCAGATCACCGGCTAACAATCAGGAACAAGAAGTCTAGCTGATTTCCTGAATCCTGAATCTAATACAGGTGAGGGCAACTCTCCTGCCCCATATGAATAAGTAACTGCACTCTTGCATTTTACCCCCCTGAGAAGGTTGAATGGGTGGAGAATAACCATGTTATCATACATGTGCTCGGCCAGTTGGGTCAGTAAAGAGCAAGAATGAAGGGGGAAAATGTTAACATCAGATTAACATCCTAGAACTGCGACTCATTTTTAAAAACCCTTTCGTGGGATTCAGGTATTATTGACAAGGCTGGCATTTGTTGCCCATCCCTAATTGCCCTTGAACTGAATGGCTGTCCTGGCCCTATCAGAGGGCAGTTAAGTGTGAATCACATTGGTGTGGATTTGGAGTCACATGTAGGACAGAACAGGTAAGGATGGCAGATTTCCTTCACTTGCAACAATGGATCATTGTTTGATGGCTACCATAACTGAGACTTGTTTTATAATTCCTGATTTATTAACTGAAATTAATTTCCGCCACCTGCCTCTGAATTACTAGTCTAGTAACATTCCCATTGCTGCACTTTGACCTGAAATGTTATCCAAATCCTGCAAATGTTCAATTTTACCCCTGTGCCCCATCTCTTCAAAGTACCTGTAGATACCTGGAGAAGCCCTTTATACTGCTGCCCTGCTGAAGTATTAGAGAACTAGGTATTTACTTCCTGAAAGGGCTGGGTCAGAAAATTCGGAGTAAGCCAGTGTTTAGTCATTCAGTTTACTGCATATGCTTTGCAGACAAACAGGAACCTGGTTCAAAGCTGCTGAGATACATTTCCACGCACAGAAAGCTGTAGAGACCAAGTTATTGACTGTATTTAAGACAGAGATAGATAGGTTCTTTATTAGTAAGGGGACCAACAGTTACGGTGAGAAGGCAGGAGAATGGGATTGAGAAACATACCAGCCATGATTGAATGGTGGAGCAGACTCAATAGGCTGAATGGCTTAAATCTACACCTTTATCTTATGATCTTACGGATACTGGTCAAATGCCTGAAGCCATTCTGTGAATTTTGCCAGCAAAAACAAGCAGGCTGAGTAGCTGTGGGCACTATCACAGTTGAATCTTACCGTGTCCTCACTCAATATACACACACATACTCAAAAACATACACACACACACACACGTAGACACATATACATGCACACACATACACATACATACATATACATAGAAATATACATACATATACACACATATGCACACACATACAATATACATAGAAATATACATACATACACACACACATATGCACACACATACAGTATACATAGAAATATACATACATACACACATACGCACACACATATATGCATGCACTCAGGAGGGTCGAAAGTAGCCATCAATAACCCTGGTTAACACCCATGTGCCATCACCACCTCTCAATCCAAAGGTGCTGAGGCCAAAAGAAATAACCCTACTCCCACTCTTGTCTCCAAATTAGGTAGTTCAGCAAGAGAATAGAGGCCTAACCTCCCAGCTGAGCTACTCAACCTTGAACAGCAACCAAATCCTCTGGGAAGCTCCAGGGAACATGTCAGGAACTCAGACTGGTAAAGTGAACGGCAGGTCAGATTTGTCACCTTAATCCCCCATCTAGCTAAAACAGGTGGACACAGGTAAAATTGCTTTCAATATTCAAAAGCATTTAAATAATAACCTGATTTTCCCCAGAACCTCTGGTGAACTTCCAACCTCTAGCTGTTTAGTGAATATTAGTTTATTAAGATTGATTTTGTAGTTATACTACTGATCCCAATGTTGCTGATGGAGAGGTGTATGAATTGATGTTTCTGTATAAGCAGTCCTCGATTTACAAGGTTTTGATTAACGCCATTTCAGTTTTGATTTTACTACCTATGATTCCGATAAGATGTGCCTGATTCACGATAATGTAGTTCTTACCTGACTCCTAGCAGCACAAAGGAACAATGCACCCCAAAAGTCAGTGTGCTTAGGCAAGTTCCTGCTCATTTCGTTCACCCTGGCCATTGCCTGCCTCAATTATGTCTAGATAAGTTTTTAAAAACTGTCTATACGCTTCCACCTCCAGATAGACAATCTTTTATATGAGGGCCGAAACATAGTTTTGCATATATTCTTGACTATTTTGATATTAACTTTGTTCATGTATCCATACTTGTTTGACAGTCTGGTAAAATAACCTGAATATTTACGAGGCTTTCTATGAGAATATGTGCTTTGAATAGTGCAGTTTCACTTAACTTCAGGTTAATCAAGACTGTCTGTATTTGTTAAAGTCCTGTCAATGGGTGCTGTGGACTTGTGGAATGGGGCATGGTTCCAATGGAGGCAGCTCTCATTTGCTCCTTCTTGTTCCAGAGAGAACCAAGAGACATCGATTTCATCCATACCCTGGTCCGGTGAGTGTGACCCTGCCCTGATTGGGGCAGGTGGGACTCGGACCCAGAGCTCCTGGCCCAGAGGTAACAGGCAAAGTCAACATAGTTCCACTCTCTTATCAGAGACTGACGAAGGAGGCGAATTTAACCTAAGGGTCACCATACCTCGGGCAAGTGTCCAGGTTGAGAATGTGGAACCTTCGTGGTTGATCACAGCTGGCGCAGGAATTGAACCTGCATTGTTGGCATCACTCTGCAGTGCAAACCAGGTGTCCTGCGAACTGAGTTAACTGACCTCCCAGGGAGGTAGGGGACCCTCTGCCACAAAAGCCCTCCTCTGCCCTGTTGTACTGATGGGCACTGTAATGAAATACAGCTGAGCAGAAACTCACACAAGGAGGCAGAAATTTACTAAACTGAAGTAACGTTGTCTGGGGTGATGATGCCCTGCAGCCGCTACGGTGCCCACTGGTCTTGAAAGACCTCCAACGTGCAGGGGGGCTCTCCAGGGACACCCGAGCACCAACGTAACAGCGAGAGAGGGGCAGACAGTCAGGCACAATGAGCCCCTCCACTGCTCACTGCCTTGACCTGTTAATGACCAGTTTGGCCATGCCCCAGGAGCATAGGTAGGAGAAGAGGTATAGATAGAATGGATAGCCAGAGACTTTTTCCTAGGGTGGAGATAGCTATTACGACGGGGCATAGTTTTAAAGTGAGTGGAGGTAGATATGGGGGAGATGTCAGATGTAGGTTCTTTACTCAGAGAGTGGTAGGGGCGTGGAAAGGGTAGTGGAGTTGGCCTCATTAGGGGCAATTAAGCGGCTATTAGATAGGCATATGGATGATAGTATAAGGTAGGGGTGGAGGTTAGATAGACCTTAGGTTTAGGGTAAAAGTTCAGCACAACGTCTGTACTGTGCTGTACTGTTCTATGTTCTATGTTCTAAGACCCTCTGTCCTGTCCAGCCAATGGATCAGGAGCGTAGGGCTGGCGTACACTTTGGTTTAACCTCCAACAGACAAATTGCTACAGACTTAATCCAGGAGGAGTGTGTTTTCAGGGGATTTCTCTACCCCCACCTTAGCTTTGGGCCATGGGCGCTCTTGGGAAGGAAGGAAGGAGGGAGGGAGGAGTAGCTGGGGGGACAGTCATTCGGCACTTACCCGTGGCGAGGATTTCAGCGTTCGCTCTGAGCCAGAGGAAGAGCTGGGCGAAGTTGCAGTTGCAGAGCCAGGGGTTACCATCCAGGCGGACGGTGCGGAGGGAGGGTAGGGAGCGGAGGGTGGCCACACTCAGGGACTCCAGCGCGTTGTCGTTGAGCTCCAGCACCTGCAGGAGGTTGAGGTTCAGGAATGCTCCGTCCTCCACCTTCCCCAGGCGGGGGTTGTTCCCCAGGCGCAACATGATGAGGCGCTGCGCTGAGCTGAACGCTCCGGGCGCTAGCTGCGAGAAGTTGTTGTAGCTGAGGTCCAGGTAGATGAGATTGGTGCTGCTGAAGGTCCCATGGGCGATAGACGACAGCGAGTTGTTGCTGAGGTCCAGGTAGACCAGGTCACGGTAGTACATGAAGAAGTCATTGGGGATCTCCCGGATTCGGTTGTTGCTCATGAGGATCTTTCTGATCACCAGCGGGAAGGGACCGGTAGGCAGCTCAGAAAGTCCCAGGTCCCTGCAGTCTATGGTGTGGCTATCCCGGCAAACACAGTCTCCTGGGCAGCCCCTGACCAAGGGCAAGCACCGCAAGAGCAGGGGCAGCAGGCACAGGGCAAGGTATGAAGGCATGGCAGGGTGGCACAGAGCACCAGCAGCGCCTGGCACATGCCGAGGGAGTGCAGGCAGCACTGTACTCTGCATGGTCAGATCAAATAGCGAGAGATTTGATCAGAGAGATAGCAGGCAGCCAGAGAGAGAGAGAGATAGCAGATAGTCAGAGAGAGAGAGAGATAGCAGGCAGCCAGACAGAGAGAGATAGCAGATAGCCAGAGAGAGAGAGAGATAGCAGGTAGCCAGAGAGAGAGAGAGATAGCAGATAGCCAGAGAGAGAGAATAGCAGATAGCCAGAGAGAGAGAGATAGCAGGTAG